TAGATAAGGATTATAAGGTATCAAAAAGGTTTTAATTTACAATTTAAGGTTATGATAAGGCACAATTTGGATTATTACCTTGTAATTTAGAGTTAATGCTGAAGCAGTTATATGCCATATAAGCTGAACATAAGAAAAAGGGGGGAAGAATTGAAGATGGTAAGATAATTAGGTACTTTCTGTGTAACAACTGATAATTTATGTTGGACCATCTATGATAAAAACCTTGTTTAAATGCTATTTTGGTGGTCCCAGTGCCTTGGAAAACATTTATGTTTGGGACTAATATATCTGTATGTTAGTGTGTTGAATTGTAAAATATTATATACAGTAGAACTACCTCCCTGTAAAGGACAACACCTAATTGCAGAGCCAAATTATCCTTTAGAGAGAGATGTTATTTTACTGGAGAGTTGCTAAATAGTAAAAATGGTAATTTGCAGATGAAAACTGTCTTTTGTAGAGAGGTGTCCTCATGGAGGTTTTACTGTACTGTATTTTTCTCTAAACATGTTTATTTTTTTATTATTCTCGCTTTAAATTAGTTTTTTCATTTCTTTTTAAAAAGACATTTTTACCTGCCATATTTTACCTCATGACATCCCCCTGTTTGATCCCTCTTGATCTATATAAGTAAGTTGTACTCAGTATGTCCAATATGGCTGTTGTGTTGCTCAGGGCTTCAGGCCATGTTGAGAGGTTTGCTGATTACATGGTGAAGGATCTGAAAACTGGAGAATGCCTACGTCTCGACCATCTTATCAAAGGTAATTGCAGTCGTTCCCAGACTACTTTGGATGGATAAAGATGGTTGAACACACACATTCAAAGATAAAAAGTTTGCCATGGCATAACATTAAGCTTGTTAGCTGCAATCAGCTAGTGAGTGACTGGTGGCTGCTCTATCAGAGATACTCTACAGCTGAAATCTCCCTGTGTAACTCATCCAGTTACTGTCACTCCCTGTCTGTACCTGGTCCTTGCCTGGAGGTAGCAGCCTCCTTTGTTCCCCAGTATTGTTCTTCCATTGTCTTTTTTATATGAACCACCATAACACATTAGTTTCCCCTGCCCTATTACAAAATCTTCTATACATTAGAACATACTCCTTGAGAGGACACTTCTGCTAGTGGACACCACACTCTAAAGAACATTTTGGCTCTGCAACTAGAGATCTTTTAGAGAGAGGTTCTACAGTATAGCAAAACCTTCCTGAGGCTAACTTTATGTAAAACTGAATATAAAGACTGCCATAAACCAACCTCCAGGCCAGAGAGTTATCCATGCCATCTCCCTCAATAGACTCAAGACCTTTCTTAGATAGCTAAACAGGAATCAACTGGGGGAATCTCCCACAAATATTCTACCCATAATTCAATTAAGTTTTTGTAACTAAACTTTAGAACTAGAACCGGGTCATCCTTATTCTCTGTCATTTATTTTAAATCAATATATTTAGTAATGGACAACACACATAGTTCCAAAGCCAGTCTCCTTTAGGGAGAGATGTCCTCTTACTGGAGAGTTGCTAAATAGTAAAAATGGTAATTTTAGCAATGAAAATTGTCCTTTATAGTGTCCTCTCTCATGGAGGTTCAATTGAATATATATTATTTATTTATTGTTATTGTTTAACCTGCCTCTGACCTCCCAAAGGTTGTCATTCATGCAGTTCCATCCTCCTGAACCTTCTCCCCCTTCTAGCACCATGTAGCTGGCTCCAGACCTCAATATTAATTGAACCATGGCAGTAACCTAGATATTCCTAGAAAAAAATGACCCAAAGAATGCTTCACAAGGGGCTGTTTCCACTCAGTTTGGAGGCTGATGATTTGTGCGGGTCCACAAGGTAATAAGACCAAATTCAAATAAATAGTGTAACTGTTGTTACCATCATCAAACAAAAGACTGAATAAGAAAATATATCACAGCGTGTTATTAAATAGTTTTTAACTTAACTATATTTATAAGAACTTGGGGATTTTTTTTTAATTCAGTATTTTATCTGATGATGGTAACAATACTGTTACCAAAACGTCACACACAATTTGGATTTGGTCTTATTACATGGTGTTTCTAATCTATAGTATAAATAGACAGCATCACACACACACAAACACAAGATTTAGAACAGGCCATCTCAAGCCATTGAAGATAGAAAACAAAATCTACCTCAGTTGCCCAAAATGTAACTTGGCACCTGCAGCTCCAGAACACATTTAGGCTTGCATTAGTTGCACTAAACAGGACCTTTGGAAGAGGCTGCTGCTTGAGCATGAACTCAAGTAATTTGTGTAATCTTTGCACAGGGGATAAGAAACAGCAACAACATAATCTAAATTGTACCTTATCATTTGTGCAGGTCATCTGGAGAAGGCATCAGAGAAAGCATCCCCTGAGGCAAAGGCAGAGTACGAGGATGTCATAGTTAAGGTGAGTCTCACCCACTCTTATTTTGCTGCTTCAGTCGTGAAAATATCTGCTGCTTTTTACTTGCCAAACAGAAGTTTTTAAATTGAAGATATTTTATGCATTATGTAACTTTGCAGGCTGCACAAATATGTTATTCATTCACGAAAGAACTACAATTCCCCTTTTAAAGTGCAAAATATATTTTTACAAATTTTTCACAAGCAGAACACCTATAGACTTGAGTTTTCTTCGTACCTATATTGGAATGTTATAGAAAGGGTGGAATAAACTGAGCAGCACCACAATAGTTTGTAGTGGAATTTATGTGTTCTTCTTCCTTATCTCCACTCAATCATATCTGGGTGAAGTAGAATGCCTTTGTCATTAAAACTGGGAGCACTACTCAGTGGCAGGCTGACTTTGCTTCAAAAGAAATGGCCGCCTCTGACATGAGGAACAGACGCCATGTGCAGCTGCTCCTAACAGTGCAAACGCTGCTCATCCTGTATCCCTGGGGCCCTTACAGGGTACTATCAGCCGGGCCAGCTGAACCCAGGTTTTTTAGAGAGCTTGTTACTGCTCCCCCTCCTCCTTTTTTATCCGGGCTTGCGACCGGCAAAGGCGGATTGTGATTTGTAACTAATGTGATATGGCCTATTTTTTTGTAATAAAATATTGTTAATATAGGGAAGGTATCAATGTTTGTTTTTGAACACATAAATTGTTTCTTATCCCCTTGTGTAAAGATTACATGAATTCCATGAGTTCATGCTCCTCGAGCTGTTTTATGATGAGCAGCGGCCTCTCCCAAAGGTCCTGTTTAGTGCATCTAATGCAAGCCAAAATGTGTTCTGGAACTGCAGGTACCAAACTACATTTTGGGCAAGTGGGATAAATTTTGTTATTATTTTCTATCTTCAATGGCTTGAGATGGCCTGTTCTAAATCTTGTTAGTGTTGTTTGATGCTGTCTATTTCTGATGTTCAGAGCTCCTCCTGGGTTCACTCCACTGTACCAACTGTGCTTAGGTGGGATCCTCCAGTTCTTGTTTATTTTTGTTTTGGCTATTGTTTCTATTTCTTTAAAAGTAAGTTTATTTTTCTGTGGCAAGGGTTCTTTTGTGCCTTTTTTCGCTAGCACATCAGCAGCTTCATTGCCTTCAATGTCAACGTGTGAGGGTATCCAGACAGTATGGTAGATTGAACTGGAGAAACTTTTATCATTGCAGTAAGAGAAGTAGAAAATTGTTTTATTTTCAAAAGAATCTTGGATCTTGTGTACACACTTGATAACATTAACTTTATAAGCATGCCGTCATATTTCCTCATTCAGTATTTTTTGTCTGATGATGGTAGCAACGCTGTTACTGAAATGTCACACAATTTATTTGAATTTGGTCATGTTACCATATGTTTCTTATTTATTTGGTCTTATTGTGTTTCTATATTCAAAAAACTACGCTTATAAATGGAGTAAAAGCTAGAATTCAATACTTGAGTAGGATTTATACTTCTTCACAAAGATAAGGCACAATTTGGATATATAGACTAGAAACACAAGGTAATAAGACCAAATCCAAATAAATACTATGATGTTTTGGTAAAAGTTATTACCAAAATGTCTTACTATTTGGATTTGGTCTTATTACCTTGTTTCTTCTCCACAATATAGTTTTCTAAGTCCCCTGGTGTTCCAGCTGGATGGAATGACCAAAGAATTATTGTGTTTCTATATTCAAAAAACTACGCTTATAAATGGAGTAAAAGCTAGAATTCAATACTTGAGTAGGATTTATACTTCTTCACAAAGATAAGGCACAATTTGGATATATAGACTAGAAACACAAGGTAATAAGACCAAATCCAAATAAATACTATGATGTTTTGGTAAAAGTTATTACCAAAATGTCTTACTATTTGGATTTGGTCTTATTACCTTGTTTCTTCTCCACAATATAGTTTTCTAAGTCCCCTGGTGTTCCAGCTGGATGGAATGACCAAAGAAGAGATGAATGCCATCCTGAGGAAGTACGACATCAAGTCTCCTACCACCGGCAATGACCTATCGGACGCCCAGGAGTTCAACTTGATGTTCGGCACTCAAATCGGCCCCACCGGACAGATTCCGGCCTTTTTACGGCCTGAGACTGCACAGGGTATCTTCACCAACTTCCGCAATCTCATCCGGGAGAACCAAGGCCGGCTGCCATTCGCTGTAGCCCAGATTGGCAAGGCCTTCCGGAATGAGATCTCTCCAAGGGCCGGGTTGAACAGAGTGAGGTGAGTGTTACTGCTCTCACAGAGTTGAAATCCTATACACTTGAAACTGTCATGGAAACTAGGGTGTTGATGGTTTTTTTTTTGCTTATCCCTAGTACACGTGGTACAGGCCATGATAATCATGGTGGGTAGTTAGCGACTGCTTTTTACTGTAAGCGCACCACATGTCTACACGTGTGAAAAGCAGTTCGACTTTGCACTTACAAATGCCAGAGCCCGGTTTGGTTACTTGCACTCGCTGGTGGGGTTGGACTTTTGCAAGAATCGGGGGCCATTGGAGCATTTTTTTTTTTTTTTAACAGAAAAAAGTGTCCAATGCGGGAATCGAACCCGGGTCCTAGTGGTCGAAAACCAAACGGTTTAAATTGAGTTAATTAAACAAGTCAATAAGTTTCCGGGGATGAGTTTCTTTCTTTTTATTGCCAACTCTAGCTTTTGGGCATCGTAGCCCCTCTACAGGAGTACAAATATACAATAATATCACACCGTTAGATAACTATCATTCTTGTATATGCATACATATGTTTTGGCTGGATTGAGTTAATATAACTGATCCATAATATCTGTAAAAGGGCCTCAAGACCCGAAAACTTGGAGTTAATCAAAAATTAGAAACTTGTCCCTAGATGAATTTATCTCAAATGATTAAGTTATAATATTTTTGATTAACCTAGTGTGTACACCCTGGATCTATATGGTAAAAAGATAAAATATATTGGGAGATTGCTCCCTCTTTTATTCAGTTCAGTAATAAGTTGGAAACTTGTGTTTTCCCACATAGTTTGTAAACATTTTATTGATCCATAAACTCTGGGAGATGTAACAATCCCTCAACATATTTTTCTTTTTAATATAGATTGCTTTATTATCTCCTTTCATGGTAGGTTCTACTTACATATATTTTTTCTATTAATTTTTCACGTATATATATATATACTCATGGACAAAACTTGAGGTGGAAAGTTTTTGAAATAGAAGGTCTGTTTTTCGAAGGAGACAGGCAATTTTGTTCACACTTGGTTATCTAGCGTGTCTTATTGCATGATCCCCGATATACATGCTGAAAGGTACTACTTCCTTTAAGTTTTGTCCTTTAGTGTATGCACTTGGTTATCTTGTGTGTCTTCAATAAAAGTCACTGTAATATCTTCAGAGTTATTGTCTTAATCTCGATATATACATGCTGAAAGGTACAACTTCCTTCAAGTTTTGTCCTTGAGTGTATACACTTGGTTATCTCGTGTGTCTTCAATAATATCTTCAGTTATTGTCTGAATCTCGATATACATGCTAAAAGTTACAACTTCCTTAAGTTTTGGCCATTTATTTGAACATTGTCCAGTGTAGGGGTTGACATAATCTGTGTGTTCCTGCAGGGAGTTTGAGATGGCGGAGATAGAGCACTTTGTGGACCCAGAACACAAGGACCACCCCAAGTTTGAGGGTGTGGCCCATCTCCAGCTGACCCTCTACTCTGCCTGCAGCCAGATGGATGGCAAGCCTGCTCAGCCCATGTCCATCGGGGATGCTGTGGCCAAGGTACAGTACACATCTTGTTCTGCATAATCTATTTACATAGCGAGGGGGGTCGGTGGAAGGCTGGTTAAACCGTTTGGTTTTCGACCACTATGACCTGGGTTCAATTCCCACATTGGACACTTTTTTTCTGTTAAAAAAAAAAACTCCAATGGCCCCCGATTCTTGCAAAAGTCTAACCCCACCAGCGAGTACAAGTAACCAAACGGGGCTCTGGCACATTTCTTAAGTGCAAAGTCAAACTGCTTTTCACATGTGTAAACATGTGGGTGCGCTTACAGTAAAAGCAGTCGCTAACTACCCACCTTGATTATCATGGCCTGTACCACGCTAAAACATAGCGAGGGGTAGGTAAATAACATATTTGTGGTATTTAAAAACAATTCTATTATACCCGTGCAGTATTAATATAATGTTGAAAATGGTCATTTTTTGTTGCTAGATCTCTACCTGGCTGATATAGCTAGCCAATGATGGTGACATCACATTGCCTTTTTCTTTTAAGCCAAAGAGCTGTGCTTGAAGCATTGTCAAATTTATACAATTAAAGAAGCCTCAATAATAAAGGTTCATGTGCAGAATATATAAGCAGAATAAATAGCTGTAGTTATCAGGTGTATTGGTGAAATCTCTGTAAAGGCTCACCACTGAATATAGCCAAATTTACTTCAATCTTCTCAGTTGGCCAATTATAGACATTCCATCCTATATATTAACAATAAATGGCATTGTATAATTCCATCCATCCAACTAATCAGTGATTGGCTGTGCTGTCCAGGGCATTGTAGCCAACCAGACCCTAGGATATTTCATGGCCCGTATCCACGAGTTCCTGACCCAGTCTGGCATTGATCCTGAGAGACTCCGGTTCCGCCAGCACATGGGCAATGAGATGGCCCACTACGCCTGTGACTGCTGGGACGCTGAGTGCCACACCACCTATGTGAGTGGGATCACACCTTACCACAAATTGGAAACTCTGGGATAGACTCTTAGATAGGCGACAGCCTATAGTTCTGGTTGAATGATCAGGTAAAATTTAGATTATAGATTAGAAACAAAAGGTAATAAGACCAAATCTAAATAGTGTCATATTTCGGTAAAAGTCCCTTGTTACAGAAACATCACACTTTTTATTTAGATTTGGTCTTATTACCTTTAGTTCTGGTAGAAGTTAAAGGGCTTTTTAGATTTAAAATAAAAAGTAGTTCAGTAGATACTTTGATAAAGGATAAAGTGCTATCTACACTGGTGTCCAAAAAATAAGAAACTTAACCAATATTGAAATTTCTCAAAAGTTAATTTATTAACAAATATAAAATTTAGTATACAAATAGTTTAAACCATGGAGAATTTGACTAGCTATATGAAAAAAAAAAAATTGAAATTATGAAATTTACAAATTATTACCAACATACCCAAAGCTAAGGTCCCAGATCTTAAAGAAATAAGATATCAATAGGGAGTATGATCACCTCTAACAGCTATCAAGGTCTCACAGCGAGCCCTCATACTGTTTGCCAGGCTTTGGAGGAGGTCCAGGGGTGGTAAACCCCACTCCTCCAATAGAGCAGTTCTTAGCTCAACGAGGGTTCTGGGAGAGGGGTGACGAGCTCCAATATGCCTCCCTAGAGCATCCCACACATGCTCTATTGGATTCAGGTCCGGAGATCTGGCTGGCCAATCCATCCTTCGAATATTCTCTTTCTGGAGATATTCATTGACTAGCCTAGCCCTATGCGGACGAGCATTATCGTCCATTAAAATTAAATTGTGACCAATTTGATCTCTATAAGGTCTTAAATAGGGCTCAAGGATCTCGTCCCTGTACCTTTGGGCAGTTAAAGTGCCCCCAGAAAAAATGTGGAGGGGTGTGCGTCTGCTAGAACTGATGCCAGCCCAGACTAAGAGACTGCCCCCTCTAAAACTGTCTATTTCCCTGATGTTACTGGGATGATAGCGGGTTCCAGGCTCCCTCCAGATGAAAACTCGTCGAGAATCTGTGTTTAAACTAAATCTTGACTCGTCACTGAAAAGAACATTGGTCCACTGATCATGAGTCCAGGCATGATGTTCCAAGCACCAATTCAAGCGGGCTCTCCTGTGAGCAGAGGTTAAAGGGATACAGACCATTGGTCGTCTTGCATAAAGAGCACCTTCGTGAAGCCTTCGGTAAACAGTTTGTCTTGAAATTCTCGTTCCAGTAGCACTTGAGAGTTCATTAGAGAGTTGAATAGCTGTCATCTCCCTATTGGGCTTGGCAGTTACGATCAGATAACGGTCTTCAGAGGTAGCTGTTTTTCTTTTTCTACCAGAACCTTCTTTTCTTTTGGTGGTTCCTGTCTCAATGAACTGTTTCCATATTTTGATGACCACAGATTTATTCACATTTAGCCATTTTGCTACTTCAACTTGTGATTGCCCTGCCTCCATTCTTCCAGCGGCTCTCCATTTTAAATCATCTGCTAAAATTTTTCGTAAACTCATTATTAACTAAGGATTAAATAAAATTACAATTGGACAATTCTTAGATGGGGTAAACGACATGCCAAATAGCACACTTATAAAGACAAGCAAAAATTGGCATATTTTCAATTTTACCGAATCGAATGGTTGCGATAAATAAATTCTACGACTAACTTTAGCTTTTAGCATTGTATATTTTAAAACATATCATTAAAAAACAAAAAGTTTCTTATTTTTTGGACACCAGTGTACATTAGGTAACAAAACCAAATCCAAATAAATAGTATATGTGAGGTTTCGGTAACAACACGGTTACTGAAAAGTCATATTTATTTGGATTAGTTCTTGTTACCTTTGTTGCTGATCAAAAATCCAAATTGTACCTTATCAGTGTTCTCTACAGTAATTCTGACTGTGGAAATATCCCCCCTGTGGCTAGTGACAATGGCACATTTCTCATCAGAGAGAGATTGAAATCTTGGTGACTCTCTCATTCCTCTAGATGATGATGTATTCTGTTTTAAAATATATATAAATAATAGGTACGTGTCTCTCTTATTTAAAACCAAATCAAGGGACCATAAACTTTTCAATCTTAAATCCAATCTGGTGTCAAATCTGAAATTAATTTTTTACATTATTAAATTAGTGTGAAGCTAGTAACCAAGGAGAAAATATATAAATAAGTGTTGTTGTTGTTTGTTGTTTCTTATCCCCTTGTGTAAAGATTACACGAATTCCATGAGTTCATGCTCCTCGAGCATATATATATAAAATAGTTATACTGTTGAATGTTTACCATTATTTACTAGGTTTCTTATACTGTAGTCTATAGACTACATAAAAATGAAGGTGTCTTAAGATAATTCTTATTTCCAATTTAATTTCATACCTGAATTATTTTTGGAACCTGTAGCTAGAAAAATTTGGTCTTAAATATAGTCAATCTGGTTTGTTTTTGTTGTATATGATCATCTTAAAGTTAAAAAATAGGCAAATATATTATTAAAGAAAAGTTATTGTATTGTATGTATGTAAATTTAATTGTTATAAGAAATTTTTGCATACTTTATGTACATACTAGTAGAAAAGCCCGTCCAAGGACGGGATCGGCTAGAGCAGGTGGATTCCTAATTTTATTTCTCACATTCCTTTTTGATACTTAATAATATGTAATCGGAAGCGTTCGAGGTAAAATAACGTTCATGGTCCGTCAGGGATCGATCCCCTTCCGAGCGTTGCAACATTTTACCTTTCGGGTCATTTTATTGATATTTTTTTAATTAACATTTTTACCTTAAAAGAGGTGAACTTACAATGAATAAATTTCTTTGTAAACAACATTTTTGGTGAAGCAAGCTAAACTATTTTCAAGAAG